ATGAAACTTTCACAAGATGTGTAATTATTAGTCATAATTCATATCCTAAAATTTCAGCTCGATCCGTCTGGCGCAAAAAAAGTCGATTTTTCAATCTCTCTTGATATGCTGTACTTGATAGGCATTAGTGCGTAAAATGGTATCGAAATTCATTGTACAAGAAGGGAATGAAAAATAAAAGACAATTTCTTATATACTGTTTACTTTTCTATGAGTCTTTAAAATCCAATTTCCTTTCGTTTTAATTTCGCAACACATTCTGTGTGATAAGATTCATAATTATTCATTTAAATCTATTAGAAAAAGTTCTTATTGACTTTGTAAAACATATCATCGTTTGTATTTTTAGTATTATTTATGCGTGATTTAATTGGTCAAGGAAATAAATGAATAGTAATGACACAGTATTATTAAGTTAGCAACACTACCACAATCACCTTGAGTCATTAATGTAGTTGGAAATTTCCAACAAAAAACAGAGTAACTCGTTTTGATTGAAAAACAATCAAGAATAAGTCAATAACGAATTCTTACAAAAATTCGTTGTTGTAATAATGATTAATTTTAAATAACTCATGTAATGATAGTTCAAATGTAAAAATAAAATATATTATACGAGGAATATATGTTTTTCATATTAATAAAACTAACAAATGATTTCGAAGTAGTATTATGTAATACATTTTTTCCTTTGTTTTTTGAAGAGCATAAAGAAAAAAAACCTAAAAAAATTTCGTTGTTCTTTTTTCTTTCCGATTTAAATTCCAGAAATCTAACAGATGAAAGTTTCAGAAAATGAAAAAAAAACTATTTTAATGATGAAAAAATAGTATATTAATAAAAGTTGTTAAAATAAATGTAGATGTTTGCAAAATTAACCGAGTATTTATTTTTAACTTAAAATTCCGAATAATTAAATAGAAAACTTGTAATAATTTTTTTAAGTTAATCCAAAAATCAACAAACTTCTTTACTTAGTGAACTAAAGATTAATATTGATTTAATAAATTATCGTTTTACTCCTCTATATAACTATGATTTATCCAATGAAACAAGATTTTACTCTTATTTTTATGCAAATGAATATTCTATGAAAATTTCAATCCTTATGTCATTATAGATGATCCATATACAAACAATTTGATTTACACATATCTCACATAATCAGATACAAATCATCCAAAGACTTGTTTTATTGTATTTTGAATGTGAAAGTAACAGAGTGTAAAATATGTTAGTATAAGTATTGTTGTTTCTTAATAATGTGAATATTTTCTTTAATAATTCAGTAAAAAACATGTAAAATTCATCGATCTATTGAAGATTATCAAAAAACCTTTATTTAAACAATTAATAAAATAATATTTCGAAATGTTCTGCAGACAAAGAAAACAAAAAATTCTTGAATAGCACAAATTAGTTCGAGAATAAATAGAAAGATTTCATTGAAATTTGTAAATTATACATTAAAGGTACAATAAAATTACAACTTTAGAAAGGTAAACTATTAATCGAATATGTTGATTAATAAATATATGAATAAAATATTAACAGAATAAAAACAAGTAGACATAAAACAACAATAAGAAAGTGAAATATCGAAAATTTTTACATTCAGCAAAAAATTGTTTTTTTTTTTTGTCATGGTTGATAAGCACTGGTCGAGTTATCTTTAAAAACTGTATATTTATCATATTCAGGTGATATTTTTCTAATGAAACTTAGGAAAATTAGATTAACATTGAAATACATCAAAAGCATAAAGTCTCAATGGTTTCACAATTAATCTGAAATTATTTTTTCATTTTACTTGTCATAGTGTGAAGAAAAACATGATGTATGATTTTTAAAAAAATTATCTTATTGTTAAGAAAATCTATTTTTCTGATATGATAAGAGAAAGTCATAAACACGGATTCGTATACCAAGATTTTGATAATGAGAACTTCAGTTCTCAAAAAAAGACGAGTATCATATTCAGAAATGGCACAAAAATCTGCATCGAATAGCATACTCAATACTTAAAACTAGCTTTCTTCAAATTTTCATGTAAACATTATATGAAAAAATGAAAGTGATCTTTTTCGAGATTTAAATAGTAACTCCATACACTTGATTAACGATCAAGTTTTAAGAAAAAAAAAAAAGAGTCTCAGTTACTAAATTCATTGGGAAAACTTAGTTGTACAAACGATCTTTAGAGAAAAAGATCACTTTAATTGTGACAAATGAAATAAGCTGTACAATAAATTATATATAGAGTATGAAGCTAGAACTTCTGGTCTATGAATTTATAAGAAAATTTTTCGTTCAAAATAAATAATTATTCGATTTCTGAAGAAAAAAACATCTTCAGTAAAGTTAGTCGCCACTTTTTTCACTAATTCGATATCGATAAAAGTTACATATAATGCTCGTCTATAGCTAAGACATACACTTAGTTAACGCAAATACTTCGAGACTGACATACAAGTTTTCTTAAAATATTGACTTGTAAACTATTAACTGAGAATAACTAATGTCTATGTACACAATGGAAATTGTACATTGTGTGAGGGACTTTGTAATAATCGAAATGCGGTGACAATTAGTTGTAAGTATTGAATACACTATTCAATACAGATTTTTCTCGTGATTGTGAATATAGTATTCATCTATTCTGGAGATGAGGTTCGAATCGTCAAATTCTCGAAATATAAATTCCTACTGATGGTGTTTTTTTTGGGATATTTAAATCAAAAAATGATTTCGGATAAATTTTCAGACTTGATATATTTCAATTTGAACCTAAGTTTCACTAAAAAAAGACAACTTTTGAATAGGTCAAAAATAATATGTTTAGAGACAACTCAATGAGCTCTATCCAACCATGACGAAAAAAAAGGTTTTTACTCAAACTTCGAATTGCTACCACCTTAAAAAGATCCTATTAACTATAAAATTTACAAATTCGAAATTTATATATTTGAAAACAAAATCTAAGTTTAAAAGTAAAAACAAAAGTCTTATGAACTGAGAACCCTTTTGTATAGTAAATATTCTTGATCGAATTATTCATATGTCAATACAATATAAAGTTTTCGTTCATGACTTTTTTTTTTTACCCATGTACTTGAAAGAAGAATCTTTACTAAACATATAGAATTGTCAAATCTCAAATTTAGGTTACGAATAAGAAAATGCTCTAAAAAAAATATGAATCAACATTGATATAATGAAAAGTAAAAAATGAAGAGAATTTTAGACAAGTAAATCACCACGACGAAAATAACAGACGAAGATAGATAAGACTATAGGCATAATAATAAAAAACAATAGATATTAATACCTTGTTTTTGCATTTTATTTTTCTTATAAACATGGATTAAAAAGAGCATAACATCATGCGACACATTGCCTCATATTGACGGCGTAATGACAAGTTATTACTTCTATGATTTCTCCCTAAGTGTCAACGCTCGGTACGTGCTGCCATGAATTCAAGTAGCTGGTGGAGTGGAAGTTTGTTGAGTCCGTTTTTCTGTTTCTTGTTTAATCATTGCTTGTTGAATATTCACTGGAAATCCTGGATTAAGATTTAATGCAAATGGTAATAATGTTTTAGGTGTATCACCGAAATCGACCATAATTTTAATGAACATTGTATCATCTCGAACATAAACATTTCCTTCTTGTTGAATTGTTGATAATTGACAAAACTTCGGAATACCACTTGCAATATTCATTTCAGATCGTGGACGTTGAAAACTATTTGATTTAGCATCCGGTCGAAATGAATCAATTATATGACGTTGTGTTGAAGTTTGATCGTATAAGCAGAACGTCACTTTGTAATTGAATGGAAATTTGAGAATTGCATCGTATTCACTTCGCATTAAAACAAAAAAGAGTGAAATATGTGTACGACGAGCATTTCCATCGCCATTTAAATAAAGCCGACCCCTCATTTTATACCCAGTAGGTGATGAATAAAATGGTGGTGAATAGATTGATGTTTGTCGTTCAGATAGTGCATCTTCTAGAATACAAATATTTTCATTATATGACAATAAATCTTGTTAATAAAATTCTCACCCATTCTAGCAGCAAAATTTGTTATTTTCCATAATAATGCACCATCATAAGAAACAAATTGCATATCATCTAATTTTTGTTTTAACGATGCAACATCTTGATTAAGAATATCCTGATTAGGTTTAAGTCCATCTAAATATGTATTGTGTTCTTGAATACTTAATTTCACTAGTGCAAAATCACGAGTCAATGTATCCATAACATTATTTATATTAATTGATTCACGGTTCAATCGTTGTGTATCTTCATTCAATGCTGAAACTCCACCAGCGAGAATATCAATTGTTTCACACACTTCTTGCAATGGAGTATTTACATTTTCGGATGATAACATTGTAGTATGAGGAAATGTATCAACATCCATTGTCGAAAATCTTTCATTTTGATCATTTGTCGATTTTGAGAAAACTTTTTGTATGAAAATAATTATTGCAGTTTGATGTTGTTCACTTTTATAATGTTGTGGTAGTTCAGCACGAATCACCTAAAAAAAAACAAAAAAAGAATAATCAGTAAGACATAAAAAGAAATCATTTTTGATCGAAATTTGTTTTCTTTTTATCACTTACGGACGTTACGCATCCATAATCTCTGAGAGCACAAGGTACCGTAATTTTATCACATTCATTTAATTTATGATAGTCAAGAGCATTTGTTGAATTAAAGAGTGTACCACAGTATTCACATGATGGATTTGGATGAGATTGTTGAAGATGATCCTTAGAAAAAAATTTATCATATTCATAAAATTGTAAATAGTTTAAATCTAATGACAAGATATTCTCAATGGAATTTTTTTCAATGATATCAAATAAAACAAAGATTTCTTTTTTTTTCTCTAAATCATAGTTCTAGTTTAATGATTAAGATTTGTTTTGTAAATTAAATGATATTTGAGTTTTATTCAATTTCAAAATGTGATGCAGAAACTACGAATATCAATTAGCAAATTACGATTTATTTGAAAATCAGCTACTCGAAATCTGTTAGATAGTAAAAAGAAACGATTGTGAAATTTATTACAATTGCGGACTCCACAGTGCCGGACAAAAGTTTAGGACTTTCTTTTTCTCGTCTTTTTCTCGAATGATAAGCGATCCAGATTTGATTTATGAGATGATATAGATAGTATGAACAACGGGCAATAGCATGTACTATGGGAGGTGGCTAAATCTTTATGTTCCGGGTTTTGAAAATCAAAAACAGACTTTTTTTTCATTGTGAGTATTTTCGCTTTTCCTAATCAAGAAATTTTCGTCGAAAAAATTCAAACTATGATAGATCGATAGAGAATTTTACAGACTATCTATTTCTAAATGACTTTCAACTTTTGGTCTTGTCTTCATTCGCTAAAATTCATTTTACTGAAAACGGCCGTAATGGTCCAAAGAAGAACGCTTTACTCCCTCAAAGTAAATTCTAGTCAAATATGTCTTACACCAAAAGAAAGAGTGTAAAAAACTGCATTAGATGATGTATTTAAAGTTTGAATATAAGTAGGTTTTTCAAAACTTTCACGCTGAAAATCAAAGTTCCCCATTTTTTGAACTAGTCAGCTAGATAGAGCACAAAGTTCTACAGATAACTATATCTTCATTGCTTTGGTTCATCATCGGATGTTTGAGATTTTAAACCAAAACCTACCTTTTCATTTTGACGGATGTCACCTTTTCCTGGAGTATTTCATTCCTGTGGTATTTTCCTTATAAGTTCGCCTCGAGATGGCTTCGAAGGGAAAACCAGGCGAT